CATCTCAAACGTCACAGAGTCAACTCTGGGCTCATATAAACCTAAGCCCCCATGTACTTGTTCCATGTAATTCTCCTTCATTTGCAGCCCACAAATTCATAGCATACTTCCTCAGTTCTGCCACACAAAGACAATCTTTGTTGTACATTAGATTAAAGGTACACCACGCGCCGCTGCCATGGTGCACCGCCACATCCTTCTTGTAACATTTCCGGCACAAGGCCACATTAAACCATCCCTCCAATTCGCCAAGCAACTCATTAAGATGGGCCTGGAAGTCACCTTCGCCACCAGCCGCGACGCCCACCGCCGCATGACCAAAACCACCGGACCACCACCACCTGGTTTCAACTTCGCCGCCTTCTCTGATGGCTACGACGGCAGTTTCAAACCAAGTGATATTGATGTCAAACACATGATGTCCGAGATCAGGAACCGTGGGTCACAAACTCTCAGAGATATAATTAAAGCCAGCGCCGACGAAGGCCGCCCCATCACTTGCTTAGTGTATGGGCTCTTCCTCCCTTGGGCTGCAAAGGTGGCGCGTGAATTTGACATCGCAGCCGCACTACTTTGGAGTCAACCAGCCACAGTTTTGGATATCTACCACTATTACTTTCATGACTATATAGATATCAATGTTGAAAATTGCAAAGACCCATCATGGTCCATTGAGCTACCCGGATTGCCACTGCTAAAAATCCATGACCTTCCCTCCTTTATACTCCCTTCAAACTCAGACGAATTCAATGCCCTCCAATCAATTCAAGAGCAATTGGAAATACTAGATGAAGAAACCAGCCCAACAGTTCTTGTTAACTCTTTCGATGCACTGGAGCCAGAGGCCCTAAAGGCCATTGATAAGTACAATTTGATTGGGATTGGGCCACTAATTCCTTCTGCTTTCTTGGATGGAAAAGAGCCATCAGACACTTCCTTTGGAGGTGACCTCTTTCAAAAATCAAACTCCTATGCCGAGTGGATAAGCTCGAAGCCTAAATCATCAGTTGTTTATGTATCTTTTGGAAGCATTCTGTCTCTACCAAGAAAGCAAATGGAAGAGATCGCTCGAGGCTTGTTAGAGAGTTGCAGGCCATTTTTGTGGGTGATTAAAGTGAAGGAGAATGGAGAAGAAGAGAAAGAAGAAGATAAACTAAGTTGCATGGAGGAATTGGAGCAACAAGGGATGATAGTGCCTTGGTGTTCTCAACTAGAGGTATTATCACACCCTTCACTGGGGTGTTTTGTGACACACTGTGGGTGGAATTCTACCGTGGAGAGTTTGGTTTCTGGGGTTCCGATGGTGGCATTTCCTCAGTGGACAGATCAAGGGACCAACGCGAAAATGATTGAAGATGTGTGGAAGAGGGGGGTGAGGGTGAAGCCGAACGAAGAAGGAACTGTCGAGGGTGGCGAGCTTAAAAGGTGCATAGAAATGGTGATGGGAGGTGGAGACAGAGCAGAAGAATTGAGAAGAAATGCTGAAAAATGGAAAGATTTGGCGAGGGATGCTATGAAGGATGGTGGGTCTTCGGCCAAGAATCTCAAGGCTTTTGTCCTAGAGATTGGAGAAACTTTTCATTAACTACAACAAGTTTGTGAAAGCCAGCCAGCATAGCCTACTCTTCATCATCAAATGACTACGATCATCATAAGACTATGACAGAGCATGAGAAGACCAATACATGCACACATTTATTCAATCAGCTTGAGTATTCTGTTAGAGGTTGTAAAATCATCTAATGATTTTCTCAAATTACATTTCAGCTGTGAGATCACATTCTCTCTCTCTCTCTCTCTCTCTCTCTCTCTCTCTCTCTTCTTCTTCTTCAGTTCTCTGTATTCTTCTGCAAATACTTGAAGATCTGTAACTGTAAATTTCCCATCAGCACACAAGGTCCATTTAACTAAGTCTTCTCTTGCTTGGTTGGGAAGGTAGGATAGCAAGGTATTGATGATTGCTTGAACCTGTTCAGTTGCTGTTCTATGTCATATCCATTGATTATTTTCAATGCTTCTGCTAACCTTAGCTTCCCTTGGGATTCTGGCTTCTTGTAGAATCCTAGGAGAGCTTCTTTGCAATAAAGGGCCAAGTGGATGCCAATTATCATGCCGTAAGTAGGTAGTTTTTCCAATCCCGACCACATGATTCATGGACTGTCTAAAAAAATCCCTTAGCTTTAAAAGGTTCTTCCAGCTGCCAAAGCAAACTTGTGTTGCTTTCAACTCCCATAGGTTCCTGCCCTTTATGCGATAGACATGGATCCACCAAGTCCATAGATTTTCCATGTTATTAAATAGCTGCCACAAATGCCTCATGAGGAGAGCTTGGTTCCAAGTTTTCAACCTCTTGATTTCTAATCCTCCTTCTTTTGGCCTGCAGACTTCCTTGCATGCCACTTTATCACCTTTCAAGTTGGATTCAGTGCCTTTCCGTAGAAAAGTTCTTAGTAATTGCTCAATCTTATGTACCACTTTCTGGGGGAGACACAAATGGGAAGCCCAGAGGACATGCATACTACTTCAAACTGAATTTACAAGCTGAAGTCTTCCAGCATAGGAAAGAGTTCTGTTAACCCAGCTTTTAATTCTAGTTTCAACCTTCTCAATGAGATTAGAGCAGTGTTGAGATTTGAGTCCAGTAGAAATGAGGGGCACTCCAAGGTATCTGACGGGGAGCTGTCCCACCTAAAATCCAAACATGGCTTTGATTTGGTTCTGTCTCCTCTTGCACTGCTCACATGTAGATATTACTTTTCTCTGGTTTGGCAATGGCCTTGTAGATAACATTACAACATGAAATGGGCCTGTAATCCCCTATGGAAGTGGGGTTGGGAATCTTAGGCACTAAGGCAATGACTGTACTATTAAGTTCTCTCAGAAGTCTTCCATAGGTGAAAAATTCCTTCACTGCAGAGATGACATCCTCACCAATGATTTTTCATGCTTTTTAAAAAAATAATGCATTGAATCCACCAGGTCCAGGAGCCTTTTGATCATTAAAAGAGAAAAAGACATCCATGATTTCCTCACTGGTAACTTCTCTCACCATTCTGTGGCTTGTTGGTCATTGATTCTTTTCAGTGTTACAGTTTGCAGCATTTCCCTACTATGCAGTCTTGCAGATGAATTTCCAAGAAGTCTTTGAAAATAAGTGACTGCCTCCTCGTTAACATCCTGATCCCCTTCATCTTTTAGACCCATCTTCTCTCATCAATGAGATAATTTTTTCCTGTTTCTTCTATTGTTCATGGACCTATGAAAATAGGTAGTGTTCTTGTCTCCCTCTTTTAACCACTGAATCCTTGATTTCTGCTTGTAAAACATTTCTTCATTCCTTGCAGCTTGGATATAAGTAGAGAGCGGTTGTTGTTCCACTCTTCTTAGTACAACATTAAGAGGATCTTGATCAAGGCTTCTCTAGCAACTTTGAAGAGCACTTTTTGCCTCGGCTTTGATTGAGACTTCACCTAATGTCTTAGATAGGTCTTTAAATAAGCTCGAGTTTCCTAAGTTTAGTGTATAGCTGATATTGAGAAGTACCTTGAATTGGTTCATTCCATGCTTGAGAAACAATTTCAAGGAGATCATTTCTCTCAGCCAGGTGGTTGAAAAATCTGAATGGACTATTCCTTCTTAGTATTTGGAATCCAAGTTTCACAACAGCAGGACTATGATCAGACACACCTTGAGGTTAGAATTCTGCATCAGACTCTTGGTACTTAGAAATCCAGCTTTCATTCACAAGGACTCTGTCCAGCTTCCTAGCTACACATCATTGACCCTTTCTGTTGCACCATGTGAGATGAATACCTGAGTACCTCAGATCAGTAAGTTCAGAATGCTGCAGACAAGACACAAATTCCTCCATAATTGTGCTCCATCTTTTTGGGGATTCTTCAGTTTCTTGCAGACTTATAATGGCATTAAAATCCCCCAAAACCACCAAGGGATTATGTGTGAATCTCTTAGAGTGATAATAAAGGTCATTCCATAATGTTCTTCTATCCCTTTCATCATTATGCCCATAGATAAATGAAACATCAAACTGCTCCTTACTGTCAATATACTTTACCTTGCAGTGTATGCTTTGGTCAGTGTCTGCATGCATGCTAAGTTCCACATTGCTAGGATTGCATTCTACCCATACCCTTCCAAAATTGTGGTTTTCATAATTAGGCATGTTATTCCAGTTCCTGAATACATTTTGCATGATTCTTGAGTTGTTTGTTTGTCTCACCTTTTGTCTCAATAATTCCCAGAACATCTAATTGATATTCCACAATTATTTTCTTTATTTCCTCCTGTTTTGAGTTATCATTAAGGTCCTTTATGTTCCAGCAGGCTTTCTTCATTGGTGGGATTGGATTTTCCTGAGAAGCAGGTCCTCAGTCACCTTTGCTTTCCCCATTGAAGTGCTCTTCTTTTTCACCTTTTTCTTCTAGGTGGATGATGGATGTTTATTTGTAGATGTATTTTTTGGAGCCTGGGCTGCTTCTTTTTCTTCTCTGATGGCTGCTGGATTAACTTTCAACTCAACCATAATGTTTCCTCCCTCCAGGCTAAGGCTTTCAAATTTGTTCCTAGAACATACTGTCTCCTGCCTGATATGATCCTGATGCATGACAACATTAATGTTGGACTTGATTTTCACAACCATTCCTTATTAGAGATGTGGGTAATTTTATTCTGTGGCAAAGCTAAGTGCCCATGTGATTGGGTTGGAGTACTCGTCATCTTGCACTTATCTGCCTTTCCCTCTTGAGATGGAATCTAACATTGCTCTAATGTGTTGTTAAAAAGAGAAAAAAAAATGAAACAAATAAAATATTTGCTCTAACTGGCAATTACTTGTTATTCAGAGTGTCCTTGATGCTATTTATGTTGTTGTCACTTGCAACATGTCCTATGTGACTCAGTTAAAGCTTAGACCAAAGAAAGAGCATGACTGACTTTTGTTTTCTGATATGAAGATTGTCAAAATACATGTGCATCGGGTAATGAGTGATAAACAAAATATTTTTCCAGCTGCCATCACCAAGGATGATCGTTCATACGAGGAACAGGTATTCTGCAAAATGTTTCGCTACGTTCATGTATTAAGTGTGACTATTAAGATCTATTCTATAGGGAGAAAGGTTTTTTCAGAATTTTCATCATCTCTAGGATTATTGTAGAGTTGCTTGAATGTAATCCAACGGTCTAAGTTTGCCTCAGTTGTCTACTGCGGCAGTGGATGTCCTCAAAAGAATTGGTGAAGACGGAAGGATCATCCAGGAATTCATTGAGCTCGGTTCAAAAGTCAAAGCTGCAGCTTCTGAGGCCATGGACGAGGAAGCTGCCCTTGGGGACATACATCTTACCCTCATTGTTGCTGTAGACAAAATCAAACCCAGTTGATCGGAATACCTCTGTGTGGCACAAACCAACCGACAGAGATGTATCGTCGAAACCCCACCAATTGACCTCAATTTGGAACTCTATTTCGAACCCCCTACTTATTTGCTGGATCATCGTTTGTTTCATCCCCGACACCCTCCTTCTAAAGGAGGCACTAAACCCACTTTTCAACTCATAGCTTAAGCTGTCAAACTAGAGCTATTCTCACTAAACCGAATCTATAAATCGAAGACGGGTAACCAACCTCTTTGAATGAATCTGTTATGATTGCACTACACTTCGATGAAGGATCCACTTATGTCACCTTCTTCCGGGATCACGGCATTCAGAGGCATCTTGTAAGTGATATTGTACATTCTTCACTTCTACTTGGCTAATATTTGTCCATTAAAAGTCATGGTTCTCTATTTATAATGCTGTGAATTGCAGAGCGATCCATTTAATCGATCCCGTCTTACATCGGACGTGTTGATTCCCAACACTGAGCTCAAGGCAAAAATTGAAGAATCCATCAGGTATCAAGAGTTGAAGCGGCATGGAGAAGATTTGAGCACGTAACGCACTAACGTTGCGTTTGGTACGTGATAATATTTTTTAGTAAGAATAAAATAAGTTTGGAAATGAAATGAAATGCGTATTACCATTCTAATGTTTGACAATTATTTAGAATTAAATACTAGGATGGAATGTTCATTCCATTCTTATATTTAGATAAAATAATTTTTTCATTAGAATGAAATTAACTTTAACCAAAATATTTATAGTGACTAAAAATAATTAATAACAATTTTTTTTTTTTATGATTACGATTGCCTTTAAAAATTGTGTAAAAAATTTTATAATTATAAAACATGAGAATCCATTAAAAAAATTTAAACTCCTATAAATTTTAAAAAATTAGAAAATAAATTCCTTCAAAAATAGGTTCATAAAAAAAATCAAAATAAAAGACTATTCAAAATTGGTCATTCATTTCAAATGAACAACTATAGTTTTTTGTGAATTCAATAGAGCACATGTGCAAACCCAAAAAGAAAATTATCAAGACAACTAGGAATCTTGTCCGAACATTTAGGTTGAACCAAAAAAAATAAATCGATGAAAAGCAAATCCAAAAAATAATCAACATTATAAAGAAAACAAAAACAAGTTGAATAAAAATAGAAATTCTTAAATTTTATTCATTTGATCTCAATAGTATTGGTGGTAGAATTTCAAGAAACAAAATCATTCTCAAATATAGGTACAAAAAATTACACTCTTTGTCTACTTGCTCTCCACTCATCAAACATTTTGTTTGTCAAATTCAATCTAAATGTTAACCACTCGTTAGATGTTTCAACGCTGGTAATATGATCATCATGTGCATTATTTTCCACCACGAGACCTGTTGCATCTACCTCCACCTCGATTGGGTCTATTTGCATTTGATCCCTCATATAATTGTGAAGCAAGCAACAAACTATTATTATACGATTTTGAATTTTGATGGGATAGAAAGACGGGCTTCTTAAAATAGCCCAACGCTTCTTCAACAGCCCAAAACATATTTCAATTACATTTCTAGCAGAATAATGCTTCATATTAAAGAACTCGTCAAGTGTCCTAGGTTGGTGACCATCTCTCCATTTTTTTAAGTGATACATTTGACCTCTAAATGGGGCAAAAAATCTCTGACCGTTGGTATATCCCCCATCCACAAGGTAGTAGGTACCCCGATTCACCACCAATTCATTCCTTCTAATCATGACATCTCTAAGCACCCTACCATCTGTTGCTGACCCTTCCCAACCAGGTAATACATAAATGAAGCCCATGTCTTGTGAACGTACTCCTAAGACATTGGTAGCAATATCTACTGTTCGGGATCGATACCTAGGCTTGTCCTCAGCTGGCTCCAACACAACCCTAAAAATTCAAAAATCAAATAGGAATCATATTTTCATACAGGTTCAAATGCGTGAACATAAAATTAATTTAGACAAGGTTAAGTACCTTGAACCACTTTCATTTATCATATGTGGAATCTTCTAGTATTAGCTCCGGAGTCTTGAGCAAATGACCTTGCAATCTTATCACAGCATTCAATACATTCTGAAAGTACCTAATAATAGTCTCACTAGACCTCTTAAATCGTTGTTTTATAACTCGATTTTTCATGTGATGTGCAAGGGTATGTAAGAAAATAGCCACTTGCTCATCAATCTCCATGTTTTTGGTATTTTTTAACTTTCTTATTGTCTCAAGCATGGAACATAACCTAATGAATGCTCATCTATTCATCCTAAATTGAGAAACACATATGTTATCACTCGTATAAGCATAGTCATAGACAATACTTCTTGCAAAGAAGTCATTGTAATATCTTTGACCTCTTACAGATTTTTTTCTCATATAGTAAATGATGACAGTAGACATCATATGGAAAAAACAATTGACTAAATGCATGATTTTGGTCCACAACACAAATAATGCAATTACTTTCTTCTTCTTTATCATTTTCCTTCTTGCTAGACTTAAACGAGCTATAACTGTCACAAAAAATACAAAGAAAAAATCAGTATTTTTTTTTTGATAAAGAAGAAAAAATCAGTATTTGGGATATCACAAACAAAGCCAAAAAATTGGTTTTGCTAGCTAGAGGTTATGTACTGTTGTAAATATACTATTTTAGAGGTGAAAGAAATAGTTAGAGGAACAGTATACCATAAATACAATGAAAAAAGCATAGTGGAACAAGTTTGTACTTTATATTACACCATAGCTTTCCTAAATATGCTTCTGAAAAAATTATATGAACTACTAAATTCAAGTGCAGTAAATGATCAAACAAGCAAGGAAAGAGGTGTTAATGTCAAAGTGAAGACCATAAACCTCTAAAAAATTTCAATAGTAAATGTGTTCACAAAATTATCGATATAATAAAAGAATGAATTAACATGAAATGCCAGATGCCAGTAGTCAGAGTTCTAATGTTGCAATAAGGGAATGGAATCATACTATGATATCTCCTACTCCTCATCAAAATGCCAGTAGTCTCATGTAGGTTAGTCCCAGTTTGATTTTCCTTGTCTCATGTTCCTCATAATTTCTAGAAGTTCTCATTTTTCAAATTGCAGATATCAATATTCTCAATCATGAAACAAACCACTTCATTGTAGGAAGTAGTAATTCTACTCCTCCTCCGGAGTTTGGGGGATATCATAATGATTGCCTGTTGAGCACAAATCCAGTGGGAGTAAGTATGGACATTGCTTTATTTTTAGTTGCATTAGAAATGGGTATTTGTCAAATGTCAACATTGTTCTAGATGTAATGAGATTAAACGAAAGTGGGGGTGCTCAGGCGAGCCACAATCAAACCGCTACTGATTAGATCAGTTTCTATCTACTGCAGAAAGTGGACAATGATTAATGTTGAACTTCTTGTGCGAGTAAGTACTTACCATTGATGTGAAGAATATTCAATTGTTTTGGAGATCTACCTGGCCCTGGTGCATGCTAATGTTGAGGAATTTTCTTTAGACTTTTGTTGTTCATGAATTATTCAATCGAGAGTTTCCTATCACCGACTATGTCCATTCTTCTCTTGCTCCCACTCAACTCTCATTCACTCATCATTTGTTGACTCTTGATCCTCACACTTTATCTCATGTCCTCTGTTTTCTCTATATCAGTATCTTAGAGACTCAAACACATGTCATCTTGTGTATTTATTCGAAAATCCTATACCCTAAACCTTAAAAAAAATCAAAAAAAAAGAGAGTATAATGAAAATGTAGGAACATCTGAATGCATAGACCTCAGAAAAAGGAAGATAATGCCAGAATCTCCGTTCCCATATCCTTGTCGGCAACGTACAGCACTGAAAACAATATTATAAAAAGTGCATCAGAGACTCTAATTTGTTGCCTTTAGAGCTTAGCTTACATCATTTCAAATAGGATCACCCAACCCAACACCTCTCAATTTATAACATGATACAGAAAATCTAATATTAAAAACAAACAAACAAAAAAAGGCTCAGAGAGTAATGATTTTGGATAACATCCACAAGGCAAGCTTTCATAGTTTGATGGTATATTTTTTCTTCATCACTGCCTCTATTAATAGTTTCTTGGAAGCATAAAGACAAAAAATAATTGGAGATAAAATATTTCTTCAAAACAATTGACACATGAACTATACCAGAAAAAAAAATCAAAAATGAAAACAACAACAACAACAGCACACAATGTATGTTTTTCTCATTTAGGATTATCATCGAACAGGTTTCAGACATAATCTCATTCAACTGATTTAACTTGTTCACCCAATACATTTCCAACCCATTTCAACTGTATAAGCATGAAAACTAATTCAACTAAACATGAAAAACAATTATTCATTGATCAAGACCGAGGAATTACCAGATTGGTGGCTTAGTCAGTTCTGGTCTAGTCTATGATGGTCTTTGTCTTCGATTCAGCACTTCCCTTCAAAAACTGGTTAGAAATAGGTCGACATTAGCTAAGACGGGATGAGGTGAGGGGTGGAATGCCATGGATCTCGGTGGAGAATAGTCAAGAGTCGAGCAGAGGAGTGGAAGAGGGAGAAGAGATTTGGCAGGGAGAGCGCTTAGCCGATAAAAGAAAACGAAGAGAAAAAGAAACAGTGGGGGATGGGGAATAGTCGGGTTTTTTTGTGTTATGAATGGGTAATACCATGTCTTATTTGGTAGTGAGTAATCCCATGTTTTGTGGCATTAATTATTTATTAGGAATGGAATGAATTGTCATTACTATGTACTAAATATAGGAACGAGCATTACTAAGTAATGGTCATTTTATTCTCATGTTTCATTACCACTAATCAAATACAACGTTAGAGTATGATATAAACAACGTCTGACAGAGTGACATTGATTGATTAGGTCTTTGTAAATGTAAATTAGGGTGCGTATCTATTGTGAATATACATGGGGTGCATATCTGTGTGTGCACAAAAACAAGAAGGCGGAAAAAATCGGTTGATCTTTGCCACCCGCTTTACCTAGGATTTCTACCATGAAGGATGCGTCAAGATCAGCAAAGTGATCATGGTTTTGAAGCAATGATAAAGTAGTTTCTTTATGATCTCAGCATCACAAATAAGTCACTGAAACAGTCTATGCTTACGCAAAGGATAAAATTGCATACAAATGATCTCCCTAAATCCTCCTATTGACAGAAATCCGTGCATTTGATTATTTTGAAGTAGGAGTTTATTGACTGCATGCCACTCCTTCGAGGAATAGATCGTAGGGCACTGAACAATTTACAATTGTTCGCCGTATGCCAAGCCAAAAGTTTCTGCTATTGCACCAAAAATAACTACCAAGGTCTTCCCATGTGGTATATAGAAATCATATTGTATGACAAACTAAAGTACAACCTTGGGGAGAAAAGGTTTACTATGGTGAAATAAATCGAAATGCATAAAGATATCAACTGGAAAATGCTAAGTTGAATAAAGTTGCAATGCGAGATCAGTTGAAGCAGAGGATGACATCAAATTGTGCACTTATAAGCAAGATTACATCCACATTGCTCAGCAGTGGGGCAGAAATATTCTCCATCAAGTCGTTTCACGATCAATTAGACCTTCAAAATCCACTGTCAAAATTGATAAAACAACTACCCACAGATGTTATAGGTAAATCTCTCTCTCTCTCTCTCTCTCTCCCTCTCTCTAATCATGCTTTTGAAATAATTACACCGCTGTGGAGATTCCCTCAGGAGAGAAGGGGTGGAAATTTAGAATGAAATTCTGGGTTGGAACATGGCAGTGATTTACTTATTCGAGTGCTAAATTGTTTTGAGAAAGGTAGTTGTGTGAAGAGATAAGTGGCAACTAAATAGTAGGCTCCAGGAGATCGATTTGCATCTGACCGCATCTGCCACCTCCTTGCAATGGTCACGATTTTCACACTTTGTTTTCTTCACTAGGCAAACAACTCCATCTTTTCTGTAATTGCATTCTTGTGTATAACAGATTCATATTGCATTCTTTCGTTTAGCTACTAAAGACAAAGCTATATCTGTATCCAATATCGGATACAGATACTGGTTGAATACTAGTGGATACTTACCAGATACTTTCCACACATATCAAATAATTAATAAAATATATATCATTATTCGATACTTGTCAGATACACTTTGAATAGAGATTTCTCCATAGGAGATACATTTGTCTTATACTTAATGAGCTGGGCTACATAGAACTCATGAATCATATAAATGAGAATTTCTTGTTCCAAGATGTTCATTTGAACTTGCATCGCATATGTCATTGTCAATTCTTTATAGTGATTGACCAGAATAACGAGTTTTTATAACTTATGTCAAAACCAATGAAATCGATCACAATTAAATACTAAGTAAAAGTTGAAAACTCTTAAAAGGTGACTCATGCTTAACTTTAGAATTATATAGAATATTAGATTCAAAGCATGATAAAGCAATCCGGAGAGGTGTGAATTAGAAGTTGTCTAGTATTGGGGTTCATGCAATAAATGATATTTTTGAGCAAGAAAAAATATTTTGGGATAAATTTTGTACCATTAGATCGAAGTAGTTAAAAATTAGATCAATCTTGACCGGTGCTGTACTTCTATAATTTGAGAATTCAACTTCCTTGTTGTAATATTATATAGATATATAAACGCATTTGATCGTACCTGTATTCTAGTTTTTAATATTTTATCGTATCCATGTCATGCCGTACCGTTATCCATGCTTCCTTGGGAGAAAATAACAACTGGTCAAACTTAGTTCCCTAAGCAGATGGTTAGAAATGTTGGATCAAGTAGAGGCAAATCAAATTCTACCATGTATACTGCAATGTCATTCTCCATTCCTACACTTTTAACTTCTAAAACTAGGCCTAGATGACCAATGCACATGTTATTCATGTGTTTTGATACATCTTAAGCATTGGTCGTAAAAAACTAGGACTACATGAGCAATGCACACATGTTATTCATATAATTTTGCTACATTTTGCTACATCTTACGCATTTCGGTGGGTATAACAATAAATAAAATGACAGCAAAAACAGCACCTGTAAGATTTTCCGGAGCCACTATATGTAAATATTCTACAACAGGAAATCCAGAGGTTAGACCGTTGATGCCTTTATCAAAGCTTTGTCGTGGACCTGGTTAACTTCCTGTTCGCATACTCTTTGGCAATACTAATTGCACTCTTGCAGTGATGCAGATAAAATTCCTCAAGAAGAGTTTGGCTGTCGTCCAATGTTAGATCACCATGACAACCCTGTACACAACAATGAACATTTTTTTGTAAACTGGAATCCAAATGCATTTTCAACTCACTATATATGATATAATTTCGAGTTAGATATGTGTATAATTCACATCATTGAACTAAAGGACATATTTTCCATATCAGATACGAATGTGCTCACCCAAAAATTCGCGACGTTTCACCATCGTCTTAACAAAAATGGTATTGAAAAGAATATAAACCAATGAGATTCCCAAAAAGTAGATGCCAATGAATGAAATAGTACAACTACTTCTATAACGGACCAAATTGAGAAAAAAAAAAGAGTAAACATAAATTACGTAGTATGAAAACAAGTAAAGCTGTCACATCTTGGAAAAGGAACGACCTTACTACCAACTGGTAAACAGAACTCCAAAATGTCTTAAGATTTATAATGGACACACAATGTGTAATTTCCAGTTATCCTGTATAGCAACTGATCATCCACTACAAAGCAAAATGAAAACATTCGCCAAAGTGATCAATTTTGGGATCATGAAATTTAGCACAAAATAAAACCATAGTTTGTGCTGGAAGCCAGTTATTACCAAGCGAGAAGTCCTGTCACAGACGGCATGGTGCATGAGAATGCCAGCAGCAACAAAAACATTGAAAGAATCCACCATGCCTTTCATAGGAATACTGCAATGCAGATCTGACAACTCCAGAGCCTCGTTGCTTATCCCACTGGGATCAGAAATTCACCAATTTCAAATTGTAACTTTTGATTAAGATGATTATACTCCCAAAAAAAGGTTTACGTTACTCCACATAGCAAAACATGTGCTCAAGTTCGCGTTTCGGAGAAACACTACTGAATGCAATATAAGCTTACCAGCTATGATGTTATTCAAGCATTGAAAACATGTTCGAGTCAACCTACTTCACTGGTATTCTGAGTCTTATATACGGGCTAGATAAACCACAACCAGAACTGGTATAATATCTTTTGTCTTTCCTGAGCAAGTGAGAAATTGAAATGATCAAAATGTCCATTTCGCTATCAATGACGTGCAACAATCCATTTGACAGATGTAAACTGGGAATGATCTTTAGACATTTTTCTAGTTAACACCTATATTGATGATTGAAACTTGTGAGTTAACTGAAGACAGAAAATGACTCTACATCACTTAAGTATTAATGCAAGCAAGAGACTGAACATAATCAATAATTTATGAATCAGAAGAATATTTTTCCAATGTTGAGGTCGAGCTGATACAATGACTAGTATGGCAGGCCTATCCATTCTTTCAGGTAGCATTTCAAGACAGGCAGGAAGAATGCACAGGTAAATCTTATCACTTTCAAAACAGCAAGCAGAGGCGAAACCAGATTTTGGATGAAGTAAGGTCAGTAGACAGCTAATTATGGTATCAACTGGTAAGTCATATTAAAACCCTAATTAATCAACTTCATTTCATCATCAAAAAACTAATAGTTTGAAAAACGACAAAAAAATAGTATGGATTAATCACATGAATTGAAAATTTGATACAATAGGAATTTTTCCAACTTAATGTGAAAATCCAAATAAAATTGTTTCATAATTTCCGAACATTAAAAATATACTTGTTTTAAATTTTCACATACGCCAATGAGTAGCATTTTCATTTATATCAACAGCCTTCCCACACTTAATACATCAATGAGGATTCATTTGGATTTGAGCCTAAGGAAACATATTTTCAACCAGCCTCTAAATAAATCTATTTGCTTTAAATTGTTTGAGCTTCCAAATTGTGCAAATGCAAAAGTCTGTCTAAAATCGAAAAAGAACTAGCGAGAACAACTGTAGTCACCTATTTTCATTTCCAACAACTATTGCGGTTGGGCATGACCAGTCCATATCATAAATGGAAACCTGCACAAAGCACCAGAGCCTCTGTCATATTTATGCTCAAAAAAGAGAACTTTTGCACTGGTGAAATATAGAAAAATGCAACTTTATGATTACTGAATTTCAGAAACAGAAGAAGCATGATTTATTGGTACCGCATCCATTCCCACATGCGTTGTGGCAATACGATAACCACGTGATTTTAAAACTTTGAAGCACCGCTCGGTAGAGTTCCAAAGTTTGATATCTAACCATTTCTCACCTCCCATGCTCACATGACGATTGTCTCCGTACCTGCAAGTCACATGGGGTATTTCATTATAAGGGAGGTCTACCCTTTCAGTTTAAAGCTTCAATTTTGCAAATTGGGGAAGACCTAGGCTGCCCAAAGAAACTTTCAGGAATCAGTACAGGTTCTACAGCATGCTAGAGTGTTCATAAAACTCATTACAAACATAATTCTGCATCTCTTGTAAAATCTTACAACTGACCCTATAGCATAGGATAATATTTAAACAAGTGTTTCCACAATTCCTAATTCCTGAGGAGTGGTGTATTACTTCAACTCTATCCAAACCAAAATGCAAGTATCTCACTTTCTCCAGGAGCCACCTGAACATAACCTTGCAAATTTTGGTGCGCTAGTGATCCAATCAAATGCAATATACTCTGATTACTATATCAAACAATAAGTTGTTATACTAAACAAAGTCATAATTAGAAACAAAAAACACAGTAATTCTCCTGTAAAATCAAAGCATTTTTCACCTTAAATCTGGTTGCACCTTTTCGAGCTGTCACAGGGCACAACATGAACTGACTGGAACCCTAGCGCATCCACTGACCAAAATGTTGCAGAAACATTCCCGAAATCACACAATCCCTCAACCAACAAACACACTGAATAGCTCCGATTCTTTGCCAAATTCCGAAACCTCTCCTTCCTCACATCCAATATATGCGGATCGAGCTCTTCCAACACTTCACCGCTTCAAATGCATACTCCCGGCATCAAATTTATCAAGATATGGAAACCAACATCCCGATTGGATAAACTGGTTTTAACTATCCAAATCAGACCTGCGTTCCATTTTCAATACCTGTTTATCTGAACTCTATCAGGCTATAGCCAGGAGTCCTTTTAAGACTTCTCTCCTTGGCCAAAGCTCTTACTTGGGCTGCTTCCTTTCTCCTCCTGCATAAATATTTGACACCAAACCATATGTGCTTGGGTTTTGAGGCTACAAATCCAAAAAATACCTTCCCACAGTTTCCCCCATCTCAGAATTTCCATAAACTCTGCAAGCAGCAAGCAAAGCACCAAGTGCAGAAGCACTTTGTCTTGGTGGCAGACATTGCAGCAAATCATAAGCTTCTTCAAGCCGTCCTGCTCTACTTAATAAGTCTATCACACACCCATAATGTTCTTCCGATGGAATCATTGAATACTCTTCTTTCATGGATCTAAAAATATGCAGACCCTCTTCTACCAAGCCAGAATGACTACAGGCGGCAAGTACTGATCTGAAGGTTAAGTCATCAGGCACAACATTCTCCTTTTTCATTTGGTCAAACAATTTGAGAGCCTGGACACATCTTCCATGCATTCCATATGCAGCAATCATTGTGTTCCACGAGACCAAATACCGACCGGTCATGTGCTCAAATAAAACTCTGGACATGTCTAATTTTACGCATTTGCTTTAAGCAGTAATCAGAAAATTAATGACAGGTATCCCTATGTCCAAGGATACGCGCTGTACATGACAATGAACTTCCTTCGCTAGATTTAGACATCCAAGCTGAGCAAATGCTTGAAGCAGACATATTAATGTGACAGAGTCGGGACTCAGATTTTCTCTTTGCATTAGCCGGAACAAGGTTATAGCTTCATCGGCATGACCTTGATGCAAATAACCCATCATCATTGATGTCCATGACACCAAATCCTTAAGTTTTATGTTTTTGAAGATTCGGCTCGCACAGTGTACAAAACCACATTTTGCGTACATGTAAATGATCTGATTAGCAATTTCCGTGTTTGATCCAAACCCACGTCTAAACACATATCCATGGATGCACTTGCCTTGTCTTATGTCTTTTAGATCAGATAATGTAGAATGTATACTCATAATGGTGACTGCGTTCAGTCTAATACCTATACCAACCATTTCATAAAATACTTCAATGGCCTGACACGCAAATCCATTCTGGAGATAACCAGCTATCATCTATATAATAAAACAGGAGTGTGTTTGAATTTTATTTCAGTCATATTTTTCCCCTCAAAACTATCACCAATCACTTACCTCACCCATCATCCATTTGTCAGACTCAAATGTCAAATCGCATCACTCATTTCTATCACATGTTTAATCATTTATATATTTTCTCCCTAAAAATATCACATCACTCATTTCTATCATATATTTAATCATTTAATATTTGATTTATTTATAGTTAATATATTTTTAAAAAATTTAATATAGTTTGATCGATTTTTTGGATACTCGAATTTTATATTTTAAGGCACGGATTATAACTAGTCACATTAAATGAGAAAACGTCCTTTTCCTCAATTCTATTGAAGATTTCCCTGGCCAGGATTAAATGGTTGCATTTCAAATACATATAAATAAGAGCTGTGGTAGCAACAATATCAAGTTGAGCAACAGTTCGCACAATATAAGCATGGATGATCTTACCTACGAGCAAATTCTCCAAGTCAGCACAACTCAAAAGCCCATTTGCTAAAGAAATCAAATCAAGCTCATACTTTCCTTGGACCATTTGAAAGAAAAGATGCAATGCCTCTAGTGGCTGCCCCAACTAAAGATGACGAGAAATCAAAGCATTCCAGCAACCCACCGTCCTCGAGCCCATTCTGCCAAAAAATGTGGCCGCCATATTTGGTGGCCCACACTTGTTATACATGTCCATCAGACTTGTTTCAAATACTTCATCTGAACAACCAATTCCTCTTCTAATAGCATACCCATGAATTGATTGACCCTCTTCTAATGCTCCTAACTCTGACGCTGCCTGAAGTAAGCACGCTAGTGTCACCCCATTAGGATATATTTCTTCCTTCTGCATATGATAAGCAACTCTAAAAGCCTCATATGTTCGGTGATCACCAACTTGAGCATAGCCCGTAATCAAAGACTTATAAGCAACAATATCTTTCTCAATTGTTTCATCAAATGCTTTAGCTGCTTCCTCAATATCACCACATCTTGAATACAGCCCTATTAGAGACGATCCCACAAACCAATTGATATTTAATCCAAACTTGAGAGCATCAGTATGAATACCTCTTCCAAATTCTAAGTCACCCAACTCAATATAGCTTTTCAAACCGAATACAATGGCTGAACTACGAGTCCCGACTGTTTGATGCCTTACATATGAGTATAGCCTTAAAACTTCATCAGACTGACCAATAGGCGGATCGAGCGCTTCCAACACTTCACCGCTACTCAAATGCATACTTCCTGCATCAAATTTATCGAGATATGGAAACCAACGTCCCGATTGGTTAAACTGGTCTTTACTATCCAAATCAGACCTGCGTTCCATTTTCATTAATCTTGAAACGTCGTCCCTTTTCAAAAGCAACTCGTCGACCGAGTCTTTACCTGATTCCTCCGGCGGTTCTAGCGTTAAGAGTTGAGTGATTGTTTCGTCCGTACATTCTGTGGTTTCCAAAGGAACTGCTTCTTCAATGAAGCCGGAACATCTTAAATGAGCTCTATAGGATTGGAGTCTAAACCCTAACTTTTTTTCCAACAGAAAACAAGGCAAAACAGTATAAGGATCGATTAAACATACGCAGAACATACATTGGGGAATAATAATCGACAGACGAACACACAAACGAATAAAAAATAGGAAAGGTAGAGAATTTCACCTGGATTTCGAGAGACGAGAGAAGGGAACAAAAGATGAGCTGAAGGAGAGGAGGAGAATGCACGGAGGTGAGGAAGAGAGAGAGAAGAGGAGGTTCGTCGGTGAGGGCTTCGGACTCTGCATTCAAGGCAATAAATATATGTACGGAGTAGGGTTTTGCAGGCACTCATTGCAGAGAACACTTCGGCGAGAGACAGAGAGGGGTCAAGGAAGAAGGCGGAGGAGGTTGATGCTGTTGATAATTATAGAAAGGACGGTGAGAAAACGTGGAAACGACATCGTTTAGGAGTTTGAGGGAGATTTAAACTGAGTCCAAAGACTCCAAACGACAGCATTCAATAAGAGAAACGCAGCGTTTTGGGTTTGGATCCTTTTTTTTTAACTGACAAATAAATCGAGCTGTCTAATTTTGACATGGTTTATTCTGCTTTTTATTTTACACGGTTGCGATCCCTTTAGAAGATAATAAAGTAAATGAGTTGAGTACCTATATTAATTAATATGAGTTCTAAATGGATTGAGTAATATGATTTATTTTAATTAAACTGATTAATATGGATTATAAATAGGTATTCATTGGGTTGAGTATTTATATTTTTATTAAATAACACAAGCAATAAAATTAAATAAATATATTGATATATCAAAAAATACACACACTTTTACACCAAAAAATACATATATACACTAAGACACCAAAATATATACACACTAGTACACCAAAAACACACACACTAAAACACCACCCACGACCCATGAGCTGACTCATGACCCACGACCCACAGACCAACTCATAGCCCACAATCGACCCGACCCATTATATGCGTATTTTTTTTTATTAAATGTGTGTTTAGTTTTTGTGTTAGTATACGGTGTGTATTTTTTGTGTTTTAGTGTGTATTTTAGTATATTAATGTGTATATTTTTAGTGTATTACTTTGTGTGTGTTTTAGTGTATTAGTGTGTGTGAGTATGTTTGTATTTTGGTGTATTACTCATGTGTGTGTGTTTTAATATATTAATGTGTCTATTAAGAATTTTAATTATTTTATAGGTTAATCGGTTTAACCCAATCCGTTATAAACTCAACTCATTATAACCCATTTATTGCGTGAGTAAAAAATATATTCGATTTATTTTCGCCCAATCCAATTTAACCTAACCCACCCATTTGCCACCTCTAATTGAACATAATATTGTTATATAATGTTGCAGCTCCTAAATTTAATTCTTTTCTTTTTTCAACAAACTAGCAAACAAGCACATGAAATTAACTGCCAAGGATTAAACTACAAATAAATCCTGTATGAGTTTGTTACTGTATTTATAAAATAACATATATACGATATGAACTCAACATGATACTGATAAATTACCTACCACCAAACTATGTACCCATACATTTTTGCTACATATATCACGAAAATCACTTATTCATAGCTAGCATTCATCCTGCCACCACTCTCACAAGAGCAATGCAAATTCAACTAGCATCAAAGGACCTCCTCACACAACAATCCTCCCAAGCAGCTTGGGTCAATCAAATCCCTTTTTCTGACTAGCTGCCATGCTAGCCTCATGTAACTGTACAGTCACCTTCACAGTTTCTACTGCAGAGTCCACTCATATCTCTAACTTTTTCTCTAGCCACCCAGAAATCAATCGTGTTGATTTTGACATTACTACCTTTAAAACCTCAGTTCCACCACCAATGATCATTTCATCGTCCATTTTGAAGCCATTAACCACTTCATTCGCCTCCGTGTTCCTATCCTATCATCGTTGCCTCGACCACCCTTTGCCATCTTTTCAGACTTTGTTGTAGCTGCAAGTCTCTCTCAAATCGCTACTGATCTCAGCATCCCTTACTACATCGTCTCTACTATATCTGCTCGTTCCTTCTCCACCGTGGCCTACCTTTCAGTTCTAATTTCTTAAACCAAATTAAAATTCAGTTGCAGTTCTGTAGATGTTGAGATCCCTAGTTTAGACCCACTGCCAGTTTCAAGTATTCCTCCTACATGGCTTGATGATTCACCAGGGAATTATCTATTGGAGGCCTACTTAATTCCAAATGCCCAATCTCTTCCAAAAGTAAAAGGTATCCTAATAAACACCTTCAACTAGTTCGAACCAAAAATAATTGATGCCCTAAACAAAGGCATGGTGTTAAGTAACCTCCCAACTGTTTTTCCAGTTGGGCCTGTGGATCCTCATGAGCTCAAGAAATGTCTTAGTATTCTATGGTTAGATCTCAAAGGTGTTGAATACATAGTGTATGTTAATTGTGAAAATAGAGAAGCCATGCCAACAGATCAACTGACAAAACTTGGAAATGGAGAGAAGTGGGTGTACATTCTTATGGATACTCAGAGGCAATAAGGTGTAGAAAGATGGTAATGATAAAGTGATTCGAGAATTCCTGAGCGATACATTTCTTGAGGGAACTAAGAACAAAGGGAGAATAATGAAGGGTGGGGGTGAATAGAGGGAAATTCTGGCGCATCCGGCCATTGGAGGGTTTGTCAGTCAGTGTGAATGGGACTCAGTGATGGAAGTAGCTAGGCAAGGGGTGCCAATGTTGGCATGGCCACAACACAGGGACCAAAAAATGAATGTAGAGGTGATGAAGAAGGCGGGGTTGGGGTGTGGGCCAAGGATTGGGGTTGGGATGGGGAAAGGTTAGTGAAGGGGGAAGAGATTGAGGAGATGGTAAAGTAAGTTATGGAAGATGTGAACTTGAGGGGCAGGGCTATGAAGATTAAAGAAGAGGCTAGAAAGGCTTGGGAAGTTGGTGAGAGTTCTTAGAAGGAGTTGATGGGATTCATTGAAATGTTGAAGCAGAAAAAGGGGAACTAGGTAATTTTGATGTAAGACCAATTGTGTATAGGAAAGAAGGAAACTTGTTGCAACTGACTAATGTTCCTATTCCATACATAGGAAACTCAAGTACACCATGTTCAATATGTGAGTTTATAATATGAGTCTATGTTGTGAGTTGTATAGCTTTATTCTACATAAAGGGGTCTTGTAAAATATTCAGTGCCGATTTTTCCATCTTTTACGCATGAACAATGCTGAGACAAATTGCATGTTTTCAGGTGACTTTAATTACGAAAAATTCGGGATGTATAGGGCCGTTACATTTAGAATTTTCATGTGGATGATGACAAATGAAACTTTGAAAAGTGCAAACCACTTGCCGTATGAAAAGTGCAAACTACTGCCCATAGCCCCTCTCTTGACACCCTATTCTGGGGGAGAGAATAGGGTGTAGGGAGAGGGGCTATGGGCAGTGATGTTGTAATAGTGATAGAGACAACAATGCAAGAAATGAGAGTAGATAGAGTGAGGATGGTGGAAAGAGATGGGGGAAAGAAAAGGCATAGAAGAGACGAGAGAGTAAGGATGATAAAAAAGAGATGAAATTTAGCATGATTTTTCAACATTGAATTGAAATTGGATTGAAGTTAAGTTCATTTGAAGTTTGTGGGTTGGTTAGTGTTGTAGAAATGGAAGAGGGGGAGAGAGTTACATGTGTCTTCGTTATCATCGTTGCAGTCATTGTAGTTGCTCACCTCTACCTTAGCAAGGTAAGGGGTTAGGGTTAAAGTTCAAGTGATTTTGCTGGTTAGGGGAAGAGGGTTTTTGGAGTTCTTAGGTTCTAAGTTGGGGGAGAGATTAGGGTGAAGAAAGAGGGGTTACGGGTAGTGATGTTGCAGAAACAATAGAGACAACAAAACAAGAGTGGAGATTAGATAGAGTGAAGAGAGAAATAATGGAAAGACGAGGCATATAATAGACAAGAAATCATTGATACTTCTACAATGGGTCTATAAAGTGTGGAAGATTGCAGTTCAAAATAAAAAAGTGTTGGAGATAAGGTATAAAAGAGATGAAATTTAGTATAATTTTTCAACGTTGAATTGAAATTGGATTAAACTCAAGTTCATTTGAACTGTTTATTCATTTAGATTTTTGTTTGAAAGGTCGTTTATTCATTTATTTGTTGTGGACACATTATGTTGTATGTTGAAGAGAAAAGTAGCTGACCTATATAAAAAAAAAGAAGAGAAAGTGGTGGGTCTTTGTTATGATTATATCTATTTTGTCTCTAACTATGTCCTTTTCATTTAGTGTCTGTTCAACTAAAAGAGAATAAGACAGTTCATATTCAATCGCAAAATTTGAATAGTAGATGGAATATAAGTTACATCCAGATCCTCAAAAGTAGACCTAGTAACCCTTGTTTCACAGTACCCAATTTTAGCCCCATCAAGAAGTATAAGCAAAATAAAATAATAAAAGGTTAAAAAAAACAAGCAAAACCTAGGGATCTTGAACATGGTAGAGCATATAGTATTTTTCTTAGCCATTTAAACAAACACTTCATGTACATTATGATGAGAGTTGTGTTGGTGCCTAGGGACAGGAAGAAGTTGGTGACTACGACAATAATCTGATGAAAGGGTGGAGCAGTGATCTAATGAAGTTAATAGGTACGTTTGTGGTATAAAAAAGGAAAAGGGGGAAAGAGAGTTACTCGTGTCTTTGTTACTATCGATTGCAACCATTGTCGTCGTTGTTCGGTCGCCTCTATCGTAGCAGGCTTGGGGTTGGGGTTAAGGTTCGGGGGATTTTGCTGGTTAGGGGAGGTGGTTTTGGAATTCTTAGGTTTTGAGTGGGGGTTAGAACGGGTATAGAGAGAGGGGATGTGGGCAGTGACGTTATAGAAGTGATTGAGACAACATAGCGATAGAGGAGAGTAATAGAGTGAGGAGAAAAATGGTGGAAAGAGATGGGGTAAGAGAAGGCAAAGAGATAAGAGAGATGCATAGTTCTTTCATAGGTGTATCAAGTGTCAGAGAGTGCATTTCAAAAATAAAATATGTGTTAGAGAGATGGTAAAAATGAGATGAAATATAGCATGATTTT